TTCGATGAAAATTTTTTCGTCTTCGATTTTGCTGAAATTTTGCACAGAGAATCAGAATGTAAAACTTAATGTCGGAGTGGTGTCTGTTACTCAATATCTGTCCTTATTTAGAAGTTGGAAAAAGTTGCTCTGATTTGGACGAAACGTTGTATACGGATATTAGAAGACCAGTACTTCTGAAGAAACTCAACTGCAGTTTTCTATGTTCGCTAGTTATCGAGAAACAAGCCTATACTTTTTAACGAATTTAGTTAGTGCGAAACGGACTTCTTTTCTTAACGTTTTAAAGGACTTACTATCCACTGTCCTAATTTCAGCTTAATCGGAGACCATGAATTTTTCACGAAAAAACGAAAGGGTATAGCCTTCAAATATTTTTCGATGAAAATTTTTTCGTCTTCGATTTTGCTGAAATTTTGCACAGAGAATCAGAATGTAAAACTTAATGTCGGAGTGGTGTCTGTTACTCAATATCTGTCCTTATTTAGAAGTTGGAAAAAGTTGCTCTGATTTGGACGAAACGTTGTATACGGATATTAGAAGACCAGTACGTCTGAAGAAACTCAACTGCAGTTTTCTATGTTCGCTAGTTATCGAGAAACAAGCCTCTACTTTTTAACGAATTTAGTTAGTGCGAAACGTACTTCTTTTCTTAACGTTTTAAAGGACTTACTATCCACTGTCCTAATTTCAGCTTAATCGGAGACCATGAATTTTTCACGAAAAAACGAAAGGGTATAGCCTTCAAATATTTTTCGATGAAAATTTTTTCGTCTTCGATTTTGCTGAAATTTTGCACAGAGAATCAGAATGTAAAACTTAATGTCGGAGTGGTGTCTGTTACTCAATATCTGTCCTTATTTAGAAGTTGGAAAAAGTTGCTCTGATTTGGACGAAACGTTGTATACGGATATTAGAAGACCAGTACTTCTGAAGAAACTCAACTGCAGTTTTCTATGTTCGCTAGTTATCGAGAAACAAGCCTATACTTTTTAACGAATTTAGTTAGTGCGAAACGGACTTCTTTTCTTAACGTTTTAAAGGACTTACTATCCACTGTCCTAATTTCAGCTTAATCGGAGACCATGAATTTTTCACGAAAAAACGAAAGGGTATATATAGCCTTCAAATATTTTTCGATGAAAATTTTTTCGTCTTCGATTTTGCTGAAATTTTGCACAGAGAATTAGTATGTAAAACTTAATGTCGGAGTGGTGTCTGTTACTCAATATCTGTCCTTATTTAGAAGTTGGAAAAAGTTGCTCTGATTTGGACGAAACGTTGTATACGGATATTAGAAGACCAGTACGTCTGAAGAAACTCAACTGCAGTTTTCTATGTTCGCTAGTTATCGAGAAACAAGCCTCTACTTTTTAACGAATTTAGTTAGTGCGAAACGGACTTCTTTTCTTAACGTTTTAAAGGACTTACTATCCACTGTCCTAATTTCAGCTTAATCGGAGACCATGAATTTTTCACGAAAAAACGAAAGGGTATAGCCTTCAAATATTTTTCGATGAAAATTTTTTCGTCTTCGATTTTGCTGAAATTTTGCACAGAGAATTAGTATGTAAAACTTAATGTCGGAGTGGTGTCTGTTACTCAATATCTGTCCTTATTTAGAAGTTGGAAAAAGTTGCTCTGATTTGGACGAAACGTTGTATACGGATATTAGAAGACCAGTACGTCTGAAGAAACTCAACTGCAGTTTTCTATGTTCGCTAGTTATCGAGAAACAAGCCTATACTTTTTAACGAATTTAGTTAGTGCGAAACGGACTTCTTTTCTTAACGTTTTAAAGGACTTACTATCCACTGTCCTAATTTCAGCTTAATCGGAGACCATGAATTTTTCACGAAAAAACGAAAGGGTATAGCCTTCAAATATTTTTCGATGAAAATTTTTTCGTCTTCGATTTTGCTGAAATTTTGCACAGAGAATTAGTATGTAAAACTTAATGTCGGAGTGGTGTCTGTTACTCAATATCTGTCCTTATTTAGAAGTTGGAAAAAGTTGCTCTGATTTGGACGAAACGTTGTATACGGATATTAGAAGACCAGTACGTCTGAAGAAACTCAACTGCAGTTTTCTATGTTCGCTAGTTATCGAGAAACAAGCCTATACTTTTTAACGAATTTAGTTAGTGCGAAACGGACTTCTTTTCTTAACGTTTTAAAGGACTTACTATCCACTGTCCTAATTTCAGCTTAATCGGAGACCATGAATTTTTCACGAAAAAACGAAAGGGTATAGCCTTCAAATATTTTTCGATGAAAATTTTTTCGTCTTCGATTTTGCTGAAATTTTGCACAGAGAATCAGAATGTAAAACTTAATGTCGGAGTGGTGTCTGTTACTCAATATCTGTCCTTATTTAGAAGTTGGAAAAAGTTGCTCTGATTTGGACGAAACGTTGTATACGGATATTAGAAGACCAGTACGTCTGAAGAAACTCAACTGCAGTTTTCTATGTTCGCTAGTTATCGAGAAACAAGCCTATACTTTTTAACGAATTTAGTTAGTGCGAAACGGACTTCTTTTCTTAACGTTTTAAAGGACTTACTATCCACTGTCCTAATTTCAGCTTAATCGGAGACCATGAATTTTTCACGAAAAAACGAAAGGGTATAAGCCTTCAAATATTTTTCGATGAAAATTTTTTCGTCTTCGATTTTGCTGAAATTTTGCACAGAGAATCAGAATGTAAAACTTAATGTCGGAGTGGTGTCTGTTACTCAATATCTGTCCTTATTTAGAAGTTGGAAAAAGTTGCTCTGATTTGGACGAAACGTTGTATACGGATATTAGAAGACCAGTACTTCTGAAGAAACTCAACTGCAGTTTTCTATGTTCGCTAGTTATCGAGAAACAAGCCTATACTTTTTAACGAATTTAGTTAGTGCGAAACGGACTTCTTTTCTTAACGTTTTAAAGGACTTACTATCCACTGTCCTAATTTCAGCTTAATCGGAGACCATGAATTTTTCACGAAAAAACGAAAGGGTATATATAGCCTTCAAATATTTTTCGATGAAAATTTTTTCGTCTTCGATTTTGCTGAAATTTTGCACAGAGAATTAGTATGTAAAACTTAATGTCGGAGTGGTGTCTGTTACTCAATATCTGTCCTTATTTAGAAGTTGGAAAAAGTTGCTCTGATTTGGACGAAACGTTGTATACGGATATTAGAAGACCAGTACGTCTGAAGAAACTCAACTGCAGTTTTCTATGTTCGCTAGTTATCGAGAAACAAGCCTCTACTTTTTAACGAATTTAGTTAGTGCGAAACGGACTTCTTTTCTTAACGTTTTAAAGGACTTACTATCCACTGTCCTAATTTCAGCTTAATCGGAGACCATGAATTTTTCACGAAAAAACGAAAGGGTATAGCCTTCAAATATTTTTCGATGAAAATTTTTTCGTCTTCGATTTTGCTGAAATTTTGCACAGAGAATTAGTATGTAAAACTTAATGTCGGAGTGGTGTCTGTTACTCAATATCTGTCCTTATTTAGAAGTTGGAAAAAGTTGCTCTGATTTGGACGAAACGTTGTATACGGATATTAGAAGACCAGTACGTCTGAAGAAACTCAACTGCAGTTTTCTATGTTCGCTAGTTATCGAGAAACAAGCCTATACTTTTTAACGAATTTAGTTAGTGCGAAACGGACTTCTTTTCTTAACGTTTTAAAGGACTTACTATCCACTGTCCTAATTTCAGCTTAATCGGAGACCATGAATTTTTCACGAAAAAACGAAAGGGTATAGCCTTCAAATATTTTTCGATGAAAATTTTTTCGTCTTCGATTTTGCTGAAATTTTGCACAGAGAATTAGTATGTAAAACTTAATGTCGGAGTGGTGTCTGTTACTCAATATCTGTCCTTATTTAGAAGTTGGAAAAAGTTGCTCTGATTTGGACGAAACGTTGTATACGGATATTAGAAGACCAGTACGTCTGAAGAAACTCAACTGCAGTTTTCTATGTTCGCTAGTTATCGAGAAACAAGCCTATACTTTTTAACGAATTTAGTTAGTGCGAAACGGACTTCTTTTCTTAACGTTTTAAAGGACTTACTATCCACTGTCCTAATTTCAGCTTAATCGGAGACCATGAATTTTTCACGAAAAAACGAAAGGGTATAGCCTTCAAATATTTTTCGATGAAAATTTTTTCGTCTTCGATTTTGCTGAAATTTTGCACAGAGAATCAGAATGTAAAACTTAATGTCGGAGTGGTGTCTGTTACTCAATATCTGTCCTTATTTAGAAGTTGGAAAAAGTTGCTCTGATTTGGACGAAACGTTGTATACGGATATTAGAAGACCAGTACTTCTGAAGAAACTCAACTGCAGTTTTCTATGTTCGCTAGTTATCGAGAAACAAGCCTATACTTTTTAACGAATTTAGTTAGTGCGAAACGGACTTCTTTTCTTAACGTTTTAAAGGACTTACTATCCACTGTCCTAATTTCAGCTTAATCGGAGACCATGAATTTTTCACGAAAAAACGAAAGGGTATATATAGCCTTCAAATATTTTTCGATGAAAATTTTTTCGTCTTCGATTTTGCTGAAATTTTGCACAGAGAATTAGTATGTAAAACTTAATGTCGGAGTGGTGTCTGTTACTCAATATCTGTCCTTATTTAGAAGTTGGAAAAAGTTGCTCTGATTTGGACGAAACGTTGTATACGGATATTAGAAGACCAGTACGTCTGAAGAAACTCAACTGCAGTTTTCTATATACATACACACACAACACACGCGCACATAACACATACATATACACACAACACACACATACGACACACAGGCACAACACACACACGCACAACACACACATAAACACAACATACACACATAACACACACGCACAACACAACAATATTATTCTTCTAGCAAATTACAGAATAAATATGTATTTGTGATTGAAGTACTTGAATATGGAAAAATCTGAGGAAAATAAAACAATTTTTAAATTAAATTTGTTTTAATTAAAACGAACAGATTCTGCACAAAGTATTTAAATCGTCTTTTACATTTGTGAACTTTATTTTGGACTAAGTGGTATACCCACAAATGGTATTTATACTTAATACAGTTTAGAAGTTACCACAGCTTCTTTTTAAGTTTCAATAACCGCATCGTTATCGAAGTTCTTCTCTGTATCTTTGTGATTAGTGAAAAAAATTACCCATAAACGACATAGGTAGATCCTAAAAGCATGAGGTCCATATTTTCAACTAGGGGTACCATCTGAAACAAACAAAAACAATGTAGAAATTAAACAGTATGAAGATAAAGAATATACTTTTTAAGGGTGATTAGTGGCAATATGTGAGTAGTTGTGATTGAGTATAAAGGTGACTATTTAAGTTGAAAAATTCCAACAGTCAAAGGAAGTCAGATGACATGTCAGTCAGTCAGTCGTTAAGGGAAAAGAAGCCGCCAATTATACAGGGTGGGTCAAAAATAACAATTTAACATATGGATGGGTGTGTGTGTTGTGTGTGTCTTATGCGTGTGTGTTGTGTGCGTGTTGTGTGTTGTGTGTGTGTGTTGTATGTGTGTTGTGTGCGTGTGTTGTATGTGTGTGTGTGGTATGTGTGTGTGTGGTATGTGTGTGTGTGTGGTATGTGTGTATTGCATGTGTGTATTGTATGTGTGTATTGCATGTGTGTATTGTATGTGTGTATTGTATGTGTGTGTGTTGTATGTGTGTATTGTATGTGTGTGTGTTGTATGTGTGTGTGTCTGTGTGTTGTGTTGTGTGTGTGTGTGTTGTGTGCGTGTGTTGTGTGTGTGTTGTATGTGTGTGTTGTGTGAGTGTGTTTTGTGTGTGTGGTATGTGTGTGTGTAGTATGTGTGTATTGCATATGTGTGTAGTATGTGTGTATTGCATGTGTGTATTGTATGTGTGTATTGTATGTGTGTATTGTATGTGTGTGTTGTGTGTTTATTGTATGTGTGTGTTGTGTGTGTGTGTGTTGTATGTGTGAATTGTGTGTGTGTTGTATGTGTGAGTTGTGTGTGTGTTGTGTGTGTGTGTTGTGTGTGTTTGCTCATAATCCCTTAGGGTTTGCTCATTTACATTTTATGATGTATTGTATTCGAGGTTTTTCGGGTGATCATACTAAAATCTAGTGAAAATTCAGATTAGGTATCAATATTTACTTTTTTCTGCTTTAAAAAATGCTGTATATAGACCTTTATCATGCATTTTCAAATCAATTATATTATAAGTAGACATTTTTCATTTACCTTCATTGAATTTCTGACACGCCACCAAAAAATCTTCCACAGAATTTAAAGATTTCGTCTTATTAAGCATACGTTGTAAAACAGGTCCGACTAATAACGGGGACTTCTTCAAAAAACCACTGAAGGTACCAAACAGTTCCTGATTAACATTTTCGGCCGCTTCCAATGCTTGCTCGTCCGTCACTACAGGCACCAGTACACCGGAGACATAAGGCAAATTTGATATTTGCATTGGCATCGATACATTAGGATCTACTTCGTCATTTACGATTTGCAATTTAATTACTTCGTTCCCGGCAATTATCAACTGTTCAACTACTTTAGATTCGGGTTCTGCGTATTTCATTTTCGGATCTAATTCTTCTGTTTCTTGGAAAACTTCATAAGGTTGTTCTGGTAGAAAACGTTCACCAGTGGCAGTTTTTTGAAAAATTTCTCGTACATTGTGATCTTCAATTTGGTCTTGATATGAAAGAAACATAGTCAGCAGCCAACCTATGTGATTGCAAATATATCCTGTGGTATATTTTAAACACGTACAAGCAACGATTTCAATATTAACGTAATATCTTATATATGGTAGTTTTATGCTTGGTACTAAATATAAATAACTGTTAACTTGTTCTAAATCTTTAACGTCCGGTGGTAGAGGAATTTTTCTTGACATATCTCTTATTAACCTATTATTTGCTGCATCCAACAATCTTAAAGTGTAAAAGTCGACGAATTTCGTTAAAAGGAAATCTACTAGCTGTATAACATTGAATGACCTCATTCTGTGAAACATTGGTTCCCTTAACAAACACATCATTTTCTCCAAGCTGTTTATTTTCAAGTTATCACTGGGTAGTAAGCAATTTCTATAACTCATCGTCCACATATCCCTCTTATCCCAATACGCTTCTAAAATTTGCAAATAATTTGGATGATTCGCCGCCGACAACATTGCTTCGCTGTAACATTGATTACATTCATCTACGGTATCGGCATACATAATCATTCTAAACTGTTTGAAGAAATTTATAGGTTCGTCCTTATTTATTCCATTCTTCGAACAAAGCAAATATTTCCATAAACTGTGCAAAATATGTAAACTGCAAAATAGAATATTCGTTTCGGGCCAAACTGTATTAATCGCCATCTGTACAGCTTCGCAATCGTCTACTAAAAACAACTGCGGTCCTTCTTTCCTCCCGAAAAACATCGTGTCGCCAACTAGCACTTTCAACGTGTTTAGACCGGCAGTAATGAGTTCGGAGTTTTCTGAGCTGGTGATGATAATGCCTAAGGGAAGAGCACCGCATTCGCTGTGGGTCATTAAGAAGAATGCTTTGCTGCCATCGTTGTCTGCCGGATTAATGGCTGCCACAAAAACTACTTCTGAAGGTGATTTAATGTACTGATGAACTCGTTTAAATAACGGCGGGCACAACCTAAAAAATATTTTCTTATTAATTATATGTTGATTCATGCATGAAAACACAGACTTAAATTACAGTTCGCAAGTAAAACAGAGGTATTTCGTATTACTAATACCTCCCAAATAAACAATACAAAAAAATTCGTTAGAAAGGATACTAGATCTTGTAATTGTTACTGAGAATCTCACTTCGTTCAACACAGGTAGTGATTATTTACCTCTTATTGGTAGAGAAGACGCATCGCACCCGTGCTTAAGGATAACACTGAATATCGAATCGTCTAAATAGCTTTGTCAATTTTGCTCAGGGTGCTGATTCCCAAATGTATAATTTCAAAAAAGCGTTTTTCTCTGGTCTTTACAATGCCGTCATATGTGGACTGGTCATTTTTAGATATAATTGAGGATGTAAATGAAATGTGTGAGGTTTTCTATCAAAAAATTTACTATATTTTAGACGTGTATGTTCCAAAATATAAAAAACATAATCGCAAATATCCTTCCTGGTACACTCCAAACATAATTCAGAACATTAAGATTAAAGAGTTTTATCACAAACGGTTTTTAAAAACTAAATCTCACTACTACTATGACGAATTTTCTAGACTGAGGAGATTAATTAAAGCTCAAGTGCAAGAAACTTATAACAACTATCTGAACTCTGCTGAAGATAGTATCATTACTAATCCAGAAAATTTCTGGTCTTACATTCAACAAAAAAAAAAGATAACACGAGAATTCCTAGAAAGGTATTTTGCAATAAAAAAGTGTTTTTACTACGCCAAATTCTATTGTTGAAGGTTTCGCAAACTACTCTAAAAGTCTGTATATTCCAACACAATTTATCGCTTACAATTCCGAAGTAAATAATATTACATGCTGTAACATTTCACACATTTCTGAAGACCACATTTTAAAGGCAATCAAATAAATACACAACTGGAAGTGACAAAATTCCTAGTTTTCTTTTAAAAGATTGTGCTAATGTGCCTGTAAGACCTTTATTTAAAATTTTTAATCTAATTGTCCGAAAGTCTGTATTTCCTGATGTGTGGAGTAAAAAGTATCTAGATACAAGATACAGATACTTTCGTAAAAAGTATCTTAAGATACATTTAGAAAAAGTTACTAAGTATTAAAAATATCTTAGATACAAGATACCTAAAAAGTATCTAAGATACTTTCGAAGATGGTTTTTGAAAAAGATACTTCTAAAAGTATCCAAGATACTTTTTAGTATCTAAGATACTTCTAAAAGTATCTAAAATACTTATAAGGTATCTTAGATATTTTTAGTAGCTAAGATACTTATGAAATATCTGCGACAGCCAATGCTGCAGATTTTCTTTGAAAATTGTGGTCATCAGTGAGATGCCACAACTAGAAAACTTCTTGTTTTGCTTGACTACTCTACATCCTTAAGTTTAATATTGAGAATGCATATTGATTAAAGATGGTTTATTGCCGTTAAAAAAAAAAGAAAAAGGTACTCAGCTTATTTTTCGTAAAAACGAGGGTCTTTTACCCGGATATTTCTCTATTTTTATATAAATCCGGTTCCTCTGCGACTTTTAAAAAGCGTGGCATTTGCATAAAAAGCGTACAAGCAAGTCTGGCAACCCTAGTAAATACAGAGTACCTAGCTAATTCACAAAGAGATTTGTTCTTCTCCAAGTATACTGACAGCATGAAATCCTCTGCAATGCAACTCACCGATCAGCGCATAATCGACAGGTCTGAACATGTGGCTAGACTTTGCGACCTTCGCGCAACCTAAAAACATCTATTTCACAAAGTATCTTAACTACTTTTAAAAAGTATGTTAGATACTTTTTAGTATCTAAGATACTTATACAGTATCTTAAATACTTTTTAGTATCTAAGATACTTATAAAGTATCTTAGATACTTAAAAATAGATACAAGATACAGATACTTTTAAAAAGTATCTTTAAATTTAGATACTTTTGCATCACATGAAAAAGTATCTAGATACAAGATCTTGTATCTTAGATACTGTAAAGTATCTTTTTTTTTTCTAAGATACTCCCAGCTCTGGAAAGTAGCTAGAGTATGTCCTGTGTTCAAAAATGGTGATATTATGAATGTAAAAAATTATCATCCTATCATCCCATATCCATTTTAAATAATTTTGCCAAGGTTTTGGAGACATTATGCTCAAATAAATTGTCTTATTTCAACCAATCAGCATGGTTTCATGGGACAAAGATCTACCACTTCTATAGTCTATTTTTATGTATGAGAGAGTAATAAAACAGCATTTCTAATGCAAAACTTAGTACGGTCATTTTAAATATTTTTACAAAATAATCTAAATATTTCCTAAAATTGTAATAAATGTACCTGAGCTATTACAAGTTTTGGGTCTTTTATTGGTCCTTTATAAACATAAGCTGTACAGAACAATAGAAAAAGGTTTGGACAGGCCAAAAGCCCTGTGTATTAAAGATTACAGAGCCGTATCTTAAGATTATTTTCAATAAGTACCTATTTGCCAATTTTGTTTTATTTTAATTCCAAGAATTTCTTACAGTAATCGAATTATAAGTAGATAAATACCTTCCCAACAAATTTCACCGAAAATGCGATTATAGGTTCTCCATTTAGTAAGGAGGTCCAAGTTGTGTATTCTTGACAGTTTACTAAATGTCGTTTAGTTGCAACTTGCAAGGTGCAGTGTGAATTCTAGTTTGATCATGGAAAATTTGGAAGGGCCGCGTAAACGACAAAAAATCGGTCCTTTAACAGTTAATGAAAAAACATTAATATTTAATTGTTTTAAATCATTTTCAGACAAACATTTATGTAAAAGTGTTGATGACACAGTGGAATTAATTAGTAGTACGCTTGGTGTTGGGAAATTTACGATTTACAGAGTTGTTAAAGAAGAAAAATGTGGCGAGTTTCAAACAGCACGTAAAGCTCCAGGAAAACCAAAATTTCAATTAGAAAATCTTTTGAAAGAAAGACTTCGAAGGAAAGTGCATGCGTTCTTCTTTAGAAAAGAATTTCCGACAGTAGACAAAGTTCTTGCCACGGTTCGAGATGATAAGGATTACCCTGAAATGAGTCGAAGCACACTATGGAAACTTTTAAAAGAAATAGGTTTTCTATGGAAAAAGCATTCCAGAAAGTCTATTTTAAAAGAAAGAAGCGCTATTGTAGTATGGAGAAGAAATTACCTAAGGACTATAAAAGAAATGAGAAACCAAAGAAGAAATATATTTTATTTAGATGAAACATGGATCAACGAGGGACATAAAACAAATAAATTTTGACAAAATGAAACTGTTACAAGTCGAAGACAGGCTTTTTTAAATAATTTATCTACTGGTTTAAATCCACCATCAGGTAAGGGGCGCAGACTAATAATAGTACACATCGGTAGTTCAAACGGTTTTGTTAAAGGTGGTTTATTGACTTTTGAATCTACTCGTACCGGTGATTACCATGAGGACATGAATGCTGATGTCTTTAAAGAGTGGTTCGAACAAATTATAGATCTTCCTCAGAACTGTATAATAGTAATGGATAATGCAAGTTAGCACTCGAGACTTATAGAAGAAATGCCCACAACCAAGTGGTTAAAAAAAGATTTACAGAATTAGCTAAATTCAAAGAATATTAAGTTCCATCCCAGTTCTGTGAGAAAAGAACAATATCATTTGTGTTCCCTTCATAAAGAGAAATTCAAAAAATATGAAATTGATAAAATTGCAAAAAATCGTGGGATGACGGTGGTTAGATCACCACCATATCATTGCGAAGTAAACCCGATTGAACTGATATGGGCACAGATAAAGGGAGAAGTTTCAAGAAAAAATAATTCTTTTAAAATGAGTGATGTTAAACAGTTGTTTTTGGAGGCTGTAAATAATGTGAAGCCTGAAAACTAGGAAAAGGCAGTAAATCATACGATTAAAGAAGAAGAGAAAATGTGGAAGTTGGACAATATTACTGATGAAATAATCGAGCCACTCATTGTAAATATTGGTTGCGACAGTTCATCTTCTGATTTCGATTCTGATTTGTAGGTAAGAAGTAGTTTTTATATTAAAATTATTATTTATGAACGTAACGTTGTTTAAAAGTCAAAGTTTAAACCTTAATACCTACATAACCCGTTTGACACAATGTTCTTAACATACCTTGTGGAAAAATAAAACATTTTAGAAAAAATTGCACTTTTTTACCTTCAGCTGTTTAAAAGTTATAAGCAGGTTAATTAGGTGAAAATATAAGTGTATACTCGAGGAATAACTTCAAAAAATATTTTAACTGTCTACTAAAAGAAGTGGTACGCCTATGGATTACGAACGCTTTATTATTTTAATACTCTCTCATACATAAAAATAAACTATAATCTTGTAGAAATTACTCAGTATATAGCTGAAGCTGTGGACAATAAGCAACAGGTTGATGTCATATACACTGATTTTGACAGGATTGGCCACAAAATATTAATTCATAAATTAAATAATTTTGGTTTTAGTGCTTCCCTCATTACATTAATAAAATCATATCTACACAACACAGGATAATTTGTTGCTTATAACGGTTACTATTCTAGAATATATTGCCGTACATCAGGTATTCCTCAAGGGTTTAATTTGGGACCCTTGTTTTTTTATTATTTATCAATGATCTCTCCACATCATTAGAATGTAAACATTTATTATTTGCTGGTGATTTGAAAATTTACTCAAATGTGACTTCTTAATTATACTTCTACAAGAAGAATTGAATAAAATATCTGATTGGTGTACAAGTAACAATCTCTTCCTAAATTTGGATACATGTTAAATTTTGTACATATGGTCGCAAACTCCATCTGTCACATTTGATTCTAGTTTGCAATTTGTAGAACATAATAATATAGTTTCTCAGTCTTCCAAAGTCTTAGGATTTATTATAAGAAATTGTAGAACTTTTTCTAATGAAATTGCTCTAAAAACGCTATTTTTCGCGCTCATAAGATCAAAACTTGAATACGCATCGATTGTTTAGGATCCACATTATCAAGTGCATATAAATTCATTGGAAAAAGTTCAACGCAAATTTCTTAAATTCTTCTTTAGCAGGCTTGATGGAATTTATCCTACAAGAGAAGGTATTGACCAATCTATTTTGGTTCATCGTTTCAATGTCCATTTCTTACAACTAAGAAGAATACATGTAGGGCTCAGAGCCACCGGCATATTGGTGCCTCGGGGCAAAAGTTCAAAGGGAATGTCGGCTACAGTTTTTTGTACTACTTCAATTAGAAATAGATAAAGTATATATGTTACGGTCAAAGATGATATTGCCCGGTCATTTTCGTAAATCTCCTATTTGATTGGACATTCTACTAACGTTAGTGTCCGGTCAATATCGTCAGTGCCCAATTTACAACACTGCCCGTAACATATATACATTATACTTATGCCAATCAAATCAAATGCGCACCCTAAAGGCTTTTTTGAACGTCCAAGCGTTTACGTCTAAATGACGTCTTTTGGGCGTCAGTTGCCTGCCGCCATATTGGCCTGACTGAGGTCAAATTCTTTAATAAAATAGACGTCCAAAAGACGTCATCTCTATGACGTCTTTTGGATGTTCAATAGACGTCCGTTTGACGAATGCGGTGACGTCTTATGGACGTCAGGTGCTACCTGGGATGTATGTAAAAACAATCAGCATAGCCCTCGTATATTGTAAATTAAAAAAACCGAATGTTTAATAATCCAATAAATGTTCAATATTTCTTAATACTTACACAATAACAAAACCATCATCCATAATTTCAATTTTGCCGCATTCTTCATTTACTTCTATGTTAAATTCTTGCAACCTTTTTGATACAAAGGTTTTATCTTTTACGTCAATTGTTCCGTGTTCTTTCTTATATTCGTTGAACCATTTGTGGCAATAATTACGATCGGGACACACACTACGGTTTACTAAAATATATACAAAAAATATAACATTTTTTAAAGAGATTATAAAAATGTAATAATGGCAAACTTTGAAGACTGATTTTTAACTAAATTATTCAATTTTGTATACAATATTGGCCAAATGCGTTCAAAGCAGGTATACATCACCTTCGTTGACAACTATTTATAAAAAAATGGCTTTATGATATTATAGAATGTAGATACTAAATAATAAAAGGTAAATGATAGTTCGGATTGAAGTTTCGAAACAAAGTAAATATAAACTCTTTGGAAATTCCTAAATACAATTTCAAAATTACTCCTATGAAATAATGAGAACATTTGTTTGGTCAAAACGATTTTACATTATAAGTTATAACTATTTTTAGAAAATAATACCGGAAATAGTCAAAGGGCTGGGAGTAGAACAAACCTCATAATTACCAATGGTTTGACAGTGGTAGTGTGAAGCTATAAAAACAAAAAATCGTTTTATCTGCCGGGCCTAAGTGGTCGTTGTTATGATACACAATTCTTAAAAGTTTGAAAAATATCGAAGTATATTTACCTCATTAGCACTAAAAAGAAGTTTGCTGCGCCAATAAGGTCATGTCTTTGAAACAGACGGTTTTCAAATTTTCAAAAAACGCCTTTAATATCATCATAGATTACCATATTATTTTTTTTTGCATATTAGTTTATTGGTTGGTCATTCGTATGGTAAAAAGAACGCATTTATGAGATAGAAAGTAAAAAAAAGTAACTATATTGTCACAATAAAGAAAGATAACTTCTCTCTCTCTCTCTTACCTGTAACGTGTGGGTTGCCTCCATGGCACTTAGGTCTCGCTTATATTGTCTATTATTGTTTTTACTTATTTTAACGATGTGAAAAAGTGCTGGTTTCATTTATTGTTACAAATTTAAGAAAATGAGTTAAAAGTACGAATTCTACCATTGGAATTTTTTTTTTTTTCAGTTATTTTCACTTGGGAGATTCAAAAATATTTTTTATTATATTGTTAGAGTAATTTTGAAAAATGTATTTGGAAATTTCTAAAAATATTATATATATTTATATGTAATAAAAGGTAAATACCTAACAGCTCCTCATATGTATTTGGATTGTTAATTTGAGCATCGATTCGAAGAATTTCATAAACCGTAGACGCAGAATGTCCAACCCTAAAAAGTCGATTCATGGTTTCTTGTACGTTTCTAGTAACCTTACGAAATTTCGCTGCTATATTAAGACTGTGATTATGGGTAATGACATAATCTACTATACAAGGCATTTCAGGATCGGGCGGGTATTTCCCGCGGTATTTTTTCTTCTTAATATGCATCAAAGTGATTGACAATTTAGAAGGGCACTTCTTGGCGTTTTTAAATCCGGATTTCAGATCTGGATAACATTTATTCAAGTTAGTTTTTACACGACAATGATACCGTCTTTTGAATAATACTTTTTCTCCGACTGTTTTTTTGGTCATTTGTATCGAGTAGCTGCATTGGGTTTTTTCTTCAAGGGCTTCTATCCATTTTTCTATTTCGGCTATTGTGTATAGGGATACTTTTATGCATACTTCGAGTTTGGAGGGACTCCCGAATACCACTTTGTTGATGACTTTGTATTTCCATTCTGAAGGCACAGCTTTCTATAAGATATCAGAGAAAAGCTTATTTTTTAATCTTTTCAAGAATATTAAGAAAGTACCGCATTACTAGTGTAATACAGTCCCATTAATCACCCTTTTTCGCTACCTTGTATATATAGGATCAGAAATAACAATAATAATGCAATACGCCTATTCATCACCCTACAATTTAATAATACATTCATTCTTTTTGAAGAAAATGTCCATATAGAAGGCAACTTAAAAAAATGATTGGTCCTGGCCAAAGTGGGCAAGCTTTATTATTATTATTATTATTATTCAAACGTAGTCAATAATGATAAAAACAATTTTTTAACAAAACTACAATAGATTCAAACAAAGATTTTTGGAAGATTTTGGAAAGGCGCCATTCTTTTAATCTACAGTGGATAGATATGAAAGAAAGTTTAAAATTAAATTCAATTAAAAACGGGAAAGCGAAAAATTAACTTCTTCATTGTATAAAAATCAGTCAACAAAGTTGCTTCAGAAATGCATGCCAGTGTTATTTCATTTTGAAATACCTATGAAATAAACTGTACCTAGTAAATCTTCATAATCAGTCGGGTTATTAATCTGAACTCCACTCCTAATAGTTTCGAACGCCGTTGATGCAGAATGTCCTTTCGAAAACAAATTTAACAATTCTTTGTTCACATTATGACAAACTTTCCTGAATTTAGCACTTAGAAGGGGGGAATGATTATGTGTAACGACGTAATCTATTATGCATGGCATTTTTGGATCCGGCGGCAACTTTCCTTTCTCTTGAAACTTTTTGTTTCCAGTTTTCAACAAAGAAATAATCAATTTAGATGGACAGTTGGTATTTTTCGTGCCCCATCTTGAGGGGTACGTTTGTTTACTTCTGGTGCGGTGGTGACAGTGGAAGTACCGTTTAAAAACTAATTTTTGACCAGCTACTTTTCTAGTATGTACTATTGAATAGTTACAGTGTGTTTTTTCCTCTAATGCTTCGATCCACGCGGCGATGTCTTCTTGGGAAAATAGCGCTACTTTTAGAGATATTTCTAGTTTTTGTGGGATGCCATAAAATAGTTTTTGTGTGACTTGGTATTTCCATTCCGATGGCACTATATCCTGGAAGATGTTTTATATTAGAATCAGGAACTATATAATCCAACATAATGGGAAATATGTTAAATACAATTTTTGAGAAACAGCACCAGTCCACTGATTCTAACTAATCAGAACCTTTTTTTAGAGTAATTATAGTAGTTTTAGAGAAGAACTAATTTAAAGACTGGGAATAATTATGTTTTAAAAGTAATATCATCAAATAGGCTTTAAGATCTAGTTGAACTTATTTTCTCTTAGTGGATAATTTTTTTATTGCAAAAGCATAAACCAGTAGGTATTTACATGTACATCCGGGACAACACATCTTTACATGTACATCTAAAACAATATTTATATAGTACCATTAGTCTTCTAAGTGAAGAACCATTTTGTTGTCATGACCAAAAATATATTTCAGAATATTGAAAAAAAAAAAAAAATAATAGGTACAAACGTTAGACTTTAATCAACACATACTCTACATCTTCATTTTAGTTGATTAGTACAATTATTGATACTTTTTATTAAATAAATGCTAGTACAATTATTGATACTTTTTCTTCATCACTTTTTATTAAATAAATGCAATTATCAAACAATAGGTGTCATTTTCATAGCTTACTTTAATAGCGTTAACTTTTCTATATTTACAGTAACTACAACTAAAATATTCAACGTTTGAAGTCAGAAAAAAAATTATTCCAAAAATTTAATAATAAAAAGATTACCCCATTAAAAAAATGTTTTTTGTTGTATTCTGTAAAATCTGCACATTGTGATTTTGATGGCATTTTATCAAAATTCAGTCCTAACCACAGGACTTTTATGATATGCGAATATTTAAGGGTGCGGATCTACATAAAAAAATAATGATAGTTTGCTTTATAAACTGGTCCAAAAATGTTTCATTATGGAAATACACAGTTCTAAAGTTTTGGAAGGGAAGGGACTAGCCTCAATATTAAAAAAAAAAAAAAAATGGTACGCCAATGGTTTTTTCCCAAATAAAAAATAGCTTTAAATTCCCTGTTCAATTTTAAACTTAAAGGATTTCTTTCCTACGTTGCTCCGAAAAAAATAATTGACATTTGGACCATAGTTTATAAAGTAAACTATCACAAATTTTTCATGTAGATTTACACCCTTAAATATTTGCATAACATTAAGGAACACCCTGTATATATTTTTTTGTAATATCCCATAATACCGATAATAAATTATGCGTAATTAATACAGTGTGTTAGTATATTCAACCGATAACGCTCTCGTTAATTGATGAATTTTCATTTAGGAACATGAAACCTTAAAGGCCTTAGTTACCGAGATACAGAGTGTTAAAAGTTTAAAATCAAAATTTTAAATTGCCGTAAATCAAAAACTCTCTAAATATTTTTTCAAATTTGATCTACCAAGATCTTGTCAAATGCACGAAATATTGAAAATTTGACAGGTGTCTACTAGATTAGAATTTATAAATATTGAGATAATGTAAAATAATAGTACTAAGTTTAACTACGATTAAACTTTGAATATATTACGAAACTGTAATTGACATGAACATTCTTCACCCCGTCTTTCCGAAGGTATACTTTTCTTATTCTTTTGAAGAGGGGTGTGTTGTCCTCACTCTTTATTCCAACTCCACCTTGTGTCATTATCTATCATTGAACTTTGCTTATCAGAATAAATAGGCCTTTCCAGACTAAGATCTATTTGATTAGGTGACTCTGATCTGTCCATTCTTTGTTCATCCTCATATTCAAGGACATCAAAACTTGTGTCTGGTGATTCCAACATATCAGATAATGACCATATTCTTTCTTCATGGATCTTGATGTCCAGAATATATGCCACAAATTTGCCTTCTTCCACACACCCCTGACACAAAGTCCCATCCAGAAGTAACTGCCAGAACTGGGCATTACATTCCTCAAAGATTGAGATGAATTTATTAAGTAGGGGATGCACGTTGAAATGATAATATAAGAGACCCTCTTCATAGGACTGGATATTTAGGGCTTTTACCCCCAACATATTATCAAGATTGTCAATGGTCACACCAATATCATCCACTAGTGGTTCTTCTATGTGCTCATCTTGCAAATGAGGTGTTAAAATGTATCCACTTGGAGTCATCTTCTCGCTATGGATATCCTTTATGTCAAACGCCCCGCCCATACATGTTATCTCCATCATGGAAATCATCTTCAAGAGTGCCGGATCGTTAGAGCTGATATCAGTGGCCTGTTCAATTCGTTCTGCTGAGAATGCACCGAGACCACGGTATGATGATAGCCTTTTGAGTAAAAATTCTTTTAGCCAGTGTTTCATTACTAAATAGTCTGTATTTTCTGGATCTATATCTAGAGTTGATTTTATGTTATTGATCATAGTCCACACACTAGAGGGTTTCACAGGTGCAAACTTAATCCATCCAGACCAGAGGCTACGACAGGGTATTACTCTAGCAGGAGATTGAGGATAATCTATCTTGTCTAGGTAGAATTTGTATGAAATCAACTTAATGGGACGAGAATCCCTATATTGACTTCCAGTTATGCATATTTCCCCATAGTTGTAGTCAATTGATAGCTTCTCATAACTTAGCAAAGTCATGCTCAGAGTTGGATCAATAAAGACTGTTGTGCCAAGACCAGTTGCAGGAATAAATGATTGACCATCAAACTTTGCAGTAAGCACCCATGATTCACCCCTCCTAGCTGAGTAGGTAGCCCTGTATTTTTCTATCTTAAAATCAAATATGTTAAACACCTCCTGCAGAAGAAAAGGTTTCCTCCTTGCAGCTGATATGTTGTCAATCACTATGGTTCTGACCTGATCATCCTCAATCATGATACTTGCAGTGTAGTCCTCTAGACTCACAAGTAGCTCTCCTGGACCAACCCATTTTGTTTTCTGCTTACCATAAGGATCATGATAGGTTATCTTCTCCTGCTCTCTAAGGAAAGTCACAACAATGCCCATCTTGAGGTGTAGCAACTTGGGGATGACATCAACCATCTCTATGTTCCCTTTCACAACTTTCTGAATAAATGCCAACTTCATTAGCCAAGACGGTAATCTGAGCATGCTAGCTTCATCAGATGACATATCCCTTAGTTTCAGAATCCTCTGCATGTGGTATTTTCTTTCCTTAGGGATTGGGATGAATGATGCAAGATTAAGAGCTTCCTGAACAGCTAAGCTCTCTCGTTTGTCATGCCCTTGAGCAGCACTATATTTAGGGAGTGAGATGAGCTTGTAACCTAGCTTGTAGCTTCTACTAATGAGCTGTTGCATCTGACACATAAAAGTGTAAGCATATATAGGAGGACCTACTCTATAAATCCTTCTTGACTTGTCCCCAACACCTGAGATGAAATTTATTGACAGCTCTACATGATTTGTAAAAGGGGATGCAAGTAATGTGGCTGTTATATCATTTAAGAACTGATTCTGGATCTGATAATTTCCCCAGATTTTCCGAATCATTATGTCAGAGGCTTTCACTGGAATATCAAACCACTTCAATCTCACAACTTGCAATAGAGTTAGGGGCTGCCTCATGGTTGAACAATGATTGTATAGCAGGGAGCAGGGGCAGAAGTTAGAAAGGCTTTTGCTACTTTGCAATATAGCAATTTCTCCCACTGGCCAGTGGCCTGGCCTTCATACCCATTTCATACATATAATTGACAGATTTTCGGGGGATCACCGAAGTGGACGCGATACATTGGCGTACAAAATTATATTATAGATGTTAATAACAATTTCGAGTAAATAGTTTAATAATTGTGAATAGCTGTTGAAATTTTTTAGAATTATGATTTGAATATTATAATACATGTTTAGTAAATATTTATAGTCCATAAATACATGTGATTGTCTGGTTCCGCCGGTAACAATTTAAAATTACTTATTCTATGAAACGACACTGGCAGGTATACATTAGAAATTCTCGAAGTCATCCGACGTGTTTTACGTTTACAGTTTACCCCCTCTCTACCTACCGAAAGCCGTTCCAACTTCTGCCCCTGCTATACTTTCATAAATCTATCCACTACAAAAAATTGTGCACTTACTTCAATGTTGTCATTTGTAAATACACTACTTGAAGATTGTTCATTCATTTTTAACTCTCTTCAAGCACACTTACGAAAGACGATAATGAATATGTTCTTCAAACATTTAATTATGTTTTTAAATTAATTAAGTGCTATTCTCTTTTAAATATAGTTTAAAAATAAGCCTACTTCCAATAAAAAAATTAACGACGAGAATCCATTTTACTTCGAGTTATGTTATGGCCACAAACTGTCAAATATCAAAGCCAGGAAGTCGTCTGTCAAAAAAGTTAAGTTGGTTGCATTGGATTTGTGTTCGAATGTGTAGCACTGACCAATGATCAATTTGATAGAGATGGGAAGTAACGATAAATAATTAACTAGTGACAGCTCCGAAAAGTCGCAGTGACAGACTGTGAAAATCGCTTTTTTTTTAAGTGGATCTTACGCGACAAACATCAGAACAATGTCTGTCGCCGCGCTACACTTTCCTTAAACAATTATCACTCATATCCTGTCAAGAATACATATCAATGATTGGTTAAGGAAAGTGTGTAGTGAGCGACACACATCATATTTTTTATTCTTGTTGTTTCTGAAGATGCTGTACGTTTATGTTCGGTTGTTAAAGTTTCAGCCCATAGAAAAGAGTAAAAAAGTTCAGTAACCAAGCATACACTCGTACGAAATTATCAACACTGATATAATATACTATATACCTTACAATACAATGAGTTGAATAAAGTTTAATAGAATAAGTACATAATAGAGAAATAAAACATCATCAATACGACTTCTGCTCGTTCCACTATTTATATTTAGACATTTGTTTTTAGCCATTTAGCGACCCGACAGTGCCTAATTCAAAACCTGCTCTGAAAAGCTCGATTTTGAAAGATCCGGAGCGGTTAGCTCCAGTAACAGGAGTAGTGACAAAATCGTAACCCATCTCTATTGTGCACTGTTTTTAATTTTGTGATTTTACTGTCAGAAAAAGTTCATTGTTTATTTATAATAAACTTAAAGGGTGTTCTTACTTATAATTATTTTTAAAATGCTTATTTCTTTGAAGAAAAACCACAGAGAACATTTACAATATTTAACTCTTCAACCGTTCCAAAGCAAGTATCTTTTTTTGCAGACATTCATTAAATATCTTAACTTTTTACTTTCATTTTTTAGTTGTTGAAGATTTTTGCAAATTAGCTACACAATTTTTAAGTAATGGTCCAAATGTTAAGCAGTACATTAAAATATCTCGAAAACTAGAAGTAGATACGGAAGTAATACAAAATTGCATTTATGGAATAGTTCATTTACTGTTGATAAGCTGTAAACACAAGGTTAGACCTTAACTTTGTAATAATAACACTGTGTAATTTGTTTAAATATCTTATTTTTTTAGTTAAGCGAAGCAGATTTTCGTGACTCTGTTCTTACCTTAGGATTTTCGCCTGAACAACAAAATGTTTTAAGTAATTTGTACATTACAAAACAAGATGAAATCTATGAGGTACTCAAAGTTCCTATTAATGAATCCCATTTTGATGACTTAAGATGGAGATTCGAAGCCCAAGTCTCCTCAAGATCCCTCTCCCAGCAAGTAATACCTCTCATAACCATGGAACTTACTACCAAAACGGATGTTAATGGTATTTCTGAGAAGGAAAAGCAACTTCTACAAACTGATCCAAATAATTTATTGCACATTGTGAATGAGTTAGAGAATGCGCTTTTACAGTCAAAGAGCAGGCACTCTAAGAAGGTGGAAAGAGCTTTGAAAACGTGACGTCTTAAAACATGGTCTATGTTCTGTGATAAATATTTGTAAAATATGAATTAAAATATATACTAAAGAATATTTAATGCAATTTATACTTTTCCTACTTAAAATTGTACTATATTACAATTTACTTTATTCTACTGGTTTCTGAATATAATTACAGTTAAAGCCAATGCAGATTCAATATCTCGAGGGTGCTGTTCATTAATTTTTACTAATTCATAATTTGTACATGTATACATTTTTAAACAATAACTTCTTAATGAAGTCAAAATCCGGATTTTTTTAATATTGCAGTTAATGAAGAATATAAAACTTTAATTGGTAGTCATGTTTGTAATTATAAATTTTTTTTAAGAGATTTTAAAGGAACTGATCAATTTAACCACCTGCTATTAAATGAAATAAATAATTTAAACGACAAGGTTTACATACATTCTTGTAAGCAACATGAAAAATTACTTTTTCAGTTTATTTTCCAATCAATCAATGTTTATTGTCAAAGTTACAACTTACCAACATTTATAAATATAATTATGTAATACTAACATTATGTGTATAAAAAATTTAAAATAATGTTAAATTATTGTTCCTGGGTAATACATAATTTCCTTGATTGTTGTAGGTGTTTAAAACTAAACCTAAACTATTTGGTTTTTTTTTGTTACTATTTATAGCTAGAACATTCGAGATCAAATATGTGAAGATTATAGTTTATTTCACTGATTTTTAAAAATTACTAGTATACTCACAATTTGTGTATTCCAGCTGTTGATTTGTACAATCATCCTTTTTTACAAAGTGGGCATACTTTTACTCCTGTGCATTTATCAGCCCTATCAAAGTACCAAGAGCGAAAACACCTCAACTGCTTACAAATTCGAAAAAACGATAACTCCACCCTATACAAACATTTCCTCTAATTCTGGTTAGGTAGTTCAAATGTTGTTATTTATATTACTATATTTGACAGTCTGATTTACGAATCATTTTGATATTTCCTTTTAAGAAACCTAGAAAATGTTTTTGCTTAAATTTATTTACAAATGTTTCTTCTTCTCCAAGTAAATAGTAGGTGTGTGTACACACTGGATGATTAGAGGTTGAGGAGGAATGAAACAAGTATTTAAAGTGTGCAAGTTTTAAGAATATCTAAGATATTCCTTGTCTGATATTTAATAAAGTTAGTCAAGGGCTTTTGGCACAAAAACCACCATCAGGACTTCTAAAAAGGTTAATAGTTATATCAAACTATACAAAAAACAAAGTATCTTCTTCTGCTATTGTTACATCTTTGACTTTTATGTTTGTCCTATAGTAATTTAATTTTCTGTTTTTAAAGATTCTAAATCTTTTTATTTTCGCAATAAATCACGACTAAACAAAAATCCTTGGGCAGCTTGTTTAACTTTTGTTACTCACATAGCAGGAACTACTTTTTGTGTTGTTTTACTATCTTGATTCATGTTTTCTGGTCTAATGATTAACGGTTCGATGTTATTTATTTATTTGGAAAATAATGGTTTATTTAACTGTAATTTTCTTTCTTCTGTAATAGTAGGGGAGCCAGTGACACGTTTAGATGTGCTATTTGAGCAAGTAAAATTACTGCAGTCGACTCGGGTAGCCAAATCTAAAGTGTAGCCCTTTAACGACCTATGGTGAGATTACAGAACGTCTGCAACTTTGCAGATCTGCAAATATGGCGGCAACTTTAAAAATCTGCAAATATGACTGACTTACACATGCAAGTATCAAGTTTTCGTATTCCAAATTTGGGTTTAGTGTTGTTGGGGGTAACAAACTACAATAAATATTGCGAATTTGCAGATATTTTTTGGAATACTTGCATTTGTAAGTCCGCCATATTTGCAAAGTTGCAGACGTTCTGTAATCTCATCCTTAAGCTATGAAGCCTTAATCATCTAATATATGTGACATTACCATTTTCTACAACTGCTCTTCTAAGACACCGTTAAAGAGCGCTCCACCGCTGGTGCAGCCTGCTGTAAAGCATTTCTATCTTCTACAAGGCAAAAATGAACGTCCTGCTCAAATATTTACCAAAAAAGTGTCACTATAGCTGCCCTGTCATAAGGTTTATTAGTGTTTCAGTTTTTTCAGTAAATTCTACGTTTTTTCCGTATCATTTAGTGGATTTATTAATTTTATTTTTACTTTAGCACAACTAATATATTTCCTCACAAGAGTTATTTTCAATATACTTCACGTGACATGGCTAAACTTTGAAACATTGCTATTGGAAATGATCAAGCAAAGCCCTCGGCCAGAAAGTGTACGGCGCAAGAGAGTAGGTATAGGCTCAGAAGTCTTAACGTCTCAAGATGTATTAGAGCATCTACAAAAAACTAAAGATGGTAAACAACTCAAAATACAAAACATAGTTAAATCAAGATGCCGCAAGAAGGAAGATATTAGTAGCAATGATGAAGACGAAGAGGAAAAAATAGAATACATAGAATTAGATAATGAAGGGGAGTTCCTACAGAATATAGTGCAAGAAAGTGAAATTCAGGACAGAGAAGAAAACGAATTAAATCAAGAAGAAAAGGAAATGAAATGGGTTTTAGTAAAGTACACGTCAAAGAAGAACACGAAGCACTATGTTGGCCGTGTAACACGACGTGTGGAAGATGAATGGGAAGTAAAATTTTTAAAACGAATTTCAACTAAACAACAAGATACGATAAGATTTGATTGGCCTCCTGCAGACGATATTGACACGGTAAACGAAGCAGATATTGCATTGACTTTGCCAGAACCACTTGAAGATAGAAGAGGGTTACTGTATTTTATTATCTTGTTTGATGGATTTAATATTTAAAATGTTTCTTATAAAAAAACATCTTCTGTAACTTGAATAGAGTAACCTTTTTGTTTTATGTCTTACAATTTAAACTACTTACTTAGTTATTTCATGTCAAAATTTTAGTTAAAACTTCCAAGATGTATATGTTAATTTTATAAATATTTCGGTGTTTTACTTGAGGTTTAGCTGCTAAAATGTTTGATAAATCAGATTTTTTAGGTTGCATTTGGATGGGTTGCTATTTTTTAAGGAAAAGAGTTTGTTGGAGGTTTTTCTGTCGTTTATGTAATACATTTTGTGTTTCAATAAATGCCACTTCTTTACACGTATTTTTTGAAAAGCTTGTTGCTTTCTTAAATATTAACCGATTTAAATAATTTTTGCACAAAATTTTTCGTAATATTTCTTTTACATTTACCCCTTTCTGCCAATAATACAACGTTTATCCGCATCTGAAGCTCAAGTGTTACATTTACCTTTTTTTCAGGGGCACATGTAACATGTTGACATCATTTTAAAAATATAAAAACAAAACAGGCACACATTGAATAAATATACTGCTATAAATACATTTATAGATAGTTATACTTAACAAGGAAAAATTGGCAGATTTTATCCTTAATGTTCAATATTTTTAAGATACCTATAAAATGTAACTATTCGAAAAACCTGTTGCATTTACCCCAGCTTACCTTACTGAAAGAACAAGTTGTGGTTGTAAAAATTAAAGATGTGATCAGAAGCAATAATTTGATATGTGGAGTTCTGGTAACTTTACATGAAGAGTATTATTGCTTAGTCTGTAATGAAAACTTCTGACATATCAAGTTATATCATCCTGTAAATTTCACGGAGACAACACAGTGATGCAGATACCCCAATTTCATTAAAATGTTGACATATCAAGTAATATGGCTTCTTACTACAGAAAGAATGACTGGATATATCACATGAGAACTGGGTAAGAGTGAAACTAAATTCTTCGGAGGTACTGGTGATCCTAAGAGATAACTTATTAAAGAACTCCACTGATAAATTACTTACTTTACAATCACAACTTGTTCTTCCTTCTAACCTTCAGTTATCACTCATTATTTCGTCCTTTCTCCTCCTTTTACTATATTAAATCTCCTCCCTATGATTCTACTTAATTCAGTTTAGAAGTAAACTGTCCCTTGATTGCGAATAATTTGATTTGTTAACTGTTTATTTTGATAACAATTTTTGTAGTTTTCTTGTTTATTTCATGCCTGATGATGAGACCCTACGTGGTCAAAACTAGCTACAAAAAAAGACTATGGTTTTGTGACATCATGTTTTCTAATTGATTGTTTTTTAATTATATTTCGATTTAAATATCTTCAGATTTTTCAATTAAAAAATTTAGAACTGGGCACACTCAACAACATCTAGGATATTTAAAAAAAAAAGACAAAAAATAAAAACATAAATTCGGTCATTTAATATATTAATATAAATTACATTTTGAGAGATCTGGAAGATAATAATTTGAACTAAGTCAAAGTGGTCATCCAAATTAATGCAAAAAAACGTTCTGAAAATTACATTTTCAGTTTTACTTTATAAAAATATATACTCCTTGAATATTCAAAATTCAATAGTAGATTTACTTGAATAAATAGCAACATGAAATAACAAATTAACAATACTTATATCTATAACAAATTTACTGGGATATTGAGGACATTATGTGAAAAATATAACCAGCCTTATTCTTTTTTCTGTCCGCCCAACACTTTTTTCCTTTGTGAGACCATGTGCATGAACAGCTGAGGAAACACTATAATAGATAAGTAAGAAACTCAATTAATATTTTCTGTTAAAAAGTTTTTTAAACTATTGGATGGATTGAAGTTTCATAACTGTCAAATAGGAAAGGTTAGGATCGTGGATGGTTTATATAAACGTATTAAAAATGATTAAATTGTACTTACGTGGAATGTATAACAACATCAAGAATACTAAAACGTGTTGATAGTTGAAAATAACGTTAAATTGATTGGGCATTTTTATCGAATACAGTCCATTTTCACCAACTTCTTTTTGGGCAGCATATATACATAACAATTCTCCAGTTATCCCTATTGGATATAAGATGGTAAACGTTGAATACCTACAAGAAAGAGGCACTTTTAGAAAAACAAAAATAAAAAACATCTAATTTATGTTTTGTGCAATGTTTGTACAGCTCAAGTCCAATATTAGTGATAGTACTGATACCGCAAATAAATAATACCAATTACTCTTTTGAGGATTATCTGGTGTCTTTTGTCGTCACAAATCCAAAAGAGGCATATTTCAATCATTTCGTGATAACGAAAATCCTATGCATATGAGAACGCTATATATTTACTTTAATTGTGTTAAAAGGGCCGTTCAAGTATTACGTAAGCACTATTGGGGGCGGAAGGTCTTTGTTTTGCTTATTTTGGATGATATGGGGGGTAGGCGAGCCTAGATGATGATTACGTCATCGGTAGTTATTTACTTTTTTACACGAATGGCAACCCTCACATTGTCTATGCTTGAAAACGAAACGCATTTTCGGGGATTCCCGCAAATAATGCATACGCTTAGGCACTCGCTTTAGAATAGACATGGGTAACGCACTAAAATTCTTTGCGTTGATACACTAACTCCGGCGCACTCTATTGCGCCAACTCATTGCGTTAACGCAATTGCGTTATTGCGTCACACCACTGCCTGCGCCGAATGAAGTCGATGCACTTCGATACGGGTGTTATTCAACGCGGGCTGTCCTTTTATAAGGGTCAAACCATGGTCAAACCGTGTTCAAGACAATAACGCAATTGGGAATTTAACTAAATTTTTTTTTTATTATATGTTTAAAAATAAACGAAAATATAACAGTGTAATGCACCCATTTTTTTTATTTCATTTTGTGTTCGGATTTTACAAAGAATACAATAATTCCAATTTATATAAAAAGGATATAACTTTTGTATACTAGTAGCCAATCAAAATGGGAAGAACTAAAAACTGACAGTGTACAAGGTTAAAATCCATAAAATTGGACCTACAATCCTACAAATTATGTGACATGTTGCAAAGAACTTAATTACTTGATAGATTTTGGGTAATCTGCATTACGAGTTGCATCAATTACGTAAATTAAAATTCTCAACTCGTCACGGAAAACGGAATCGGTGCCTGGCGCATGACGCATCAACAACTCGCGATCCTTTCGACTAATGCTGCGTTTGAGAATCCACATCGGATGCATCTGAGATGTAAAAAATCTTTGATCACGTGGTTCAGTATACGTAAATGTAATGGGACAGATGTGTCCGATGTGGATAAAAAAACGCTCGAGATGTAAAAAATGCATCCGATGTGGATTCTCAAACGCAGCATCAGTATCGAAAATTGCGTTGCGCTGATACAGTAACAGCTGGTGTATCAACGCTCGTAACGCATACAACTGCGTTAACGCAATAACGCAACGCAGCGCTACCCATGTCTACTTTAGAACCGAGTAGGGGAATTACCGCGCGCTATTCACATTCAGTGTTGCCAGATATACCAATTTTATGGTATTTATACCATTTTTTCTACTCCGATACCTGCAAATTTTTGAAGATACCATTTTCCATTTTTTACCATTTGTTGGCTACTGATACCACTTTACTACCATATTTTTAACTTTTAGATTTTTATATCATTCATTATAATAATACGAGTAAAACATAGCACTCTGCACATCTCTACTCTACTAACAAGTAACAAGAATGGTCTCACATCTCTACTAAAACACGCCCAATAATAGACAATTACAAAAATGTATTTATAATCGAAGAATTCAAAAATGAAGAGAAATATATGTAGTCTATTTAAAAAAATCGATGACGTAGCGAAAGACGTCTAGTTGAAAATAAAAATTAACCAGTGAAAGCATTTTGTTAAAATACTGTTAGACAGAAAAATATCGAATTTATTCCAACCTATACGTCCTCATTGTATAATATAATGTTACTATAGGTTCTACTTATAAATTACTAAGGGCCGATTTCACCGTTGTGTTAAATGGAGATTCAAATGACATCGTTAATGTAAAAATGTCATTTTAAACTTCGTTTAACACAACGGTGGAATCGGTCCTAAAAGATTTATAAATACAATTTTATTAATACAAAGGGTACTGAGTAACTGGCAAATTTGCTAAGTTCAGCAAGATCATAATGATTCTGTTCTTGTTTTTTCGTTCTTAATAATATTTTGTTATTTAAATCATAGTTTAAAATAAAAATTTTATACTAATTTTCATTTTTATTTGTTCATTATGTGTGTAAAACTTTATTATTTGGTGTTATCAAGATTATTCTGGATACCATTTTTTGTCAGTAAAATACCATATTTTTAAGTGCCGGATACCATATTTTTTGTTTTTCATCTGGCAACACTGTTCACATGTCTAAATTTAGTAAATTTCCTCTCTCAGTGTATTGTTTCGTTCGGATACTATAGCGAGTAGACGTATTGTAAGCATAACAAAGCAAGTTAACTTTTGTGTTACCGTTGATTCCATTAGCCAAAATTTAATGTTTAAATAAGATGTCGTTTCAAATAGACAAATCCAAGTTTTACCAAAAATTGTTTGAAAGTTTTAAAAAATCTCATACAAGTACGAAAGTACAAAAGTTAGTTAACGAAGTGTGTCGAAATTATAAATTACAAGCAAAGCCCGACAAGGAACTAGATATTGTATCTAAGAGAATTGAAGAAGAATTGAAAGTTATTATTTTTATTCTACGATACGACACTGGCGCACAAATATTACCGCAAAATTATCGAACTCTCAAAACCTACCAAAGGTCTGGTCAATTTCTGTCCATACTTTAGTCTATTGATGATGCTACTTTATTGCTGTCAATTTAAAATTGAGGATTTGATATTTAGGTCGCTATACAATTATTTAAAGTTAAATCATCAAATACCAATTCAAGACTTTCTCTTTTCAATATTTTTATCATTATGTTTATTCTTGATAATCTAATGATATATTTTGTCTTATCTTTGAATGTAATATATTTTGAACACTAAAGAATGTATTTTATTTATCACTGTGAGATGTGTGAAGTGTTACTATTAGAGACATTAATAATTTTTTCTAGATACTTGACAAAGAATGTAATTGGTTGGAGAAAAAAATACTAAAAATACGTTTTTGAAACTCGTAAATAGTCTGTACTAGAGAAACAAAAAAATCACGGGATACCTGTTGACCTTTCACGCATTGTAAGCAAATGTGGACAATTAGGTGTCACATTTCGACTAGTTTTACATACAACAAAGGACAATGAACATTAAAAACATGTAAGTATTATTAGAATACAATAAGATGTTTTTAAATGAACTCATAAATGAATATAGGGACATTTTTATTTGCTTGGTAAACTATACCAGTTTTATTTTTAATCTTGAAACTTTATTAGTATTTGTTATCAAATCTAAATTAAAAAATTATTGACATTGTAAATCGAATTCCAATTATACAATCACTGCTTATCTTGCTTTCCGGATTTACATAAATATATCGCTTAATCTATAATAATATCATTGATAAAACATTGAGTTAGAAATAGTTTTTTAACTAAAATAAATTAATAAAAAAATTAATGTCTAAGTAATTACTAAAACAATATTTTCCCAAATAAACTATGAAATTTGGTTATTAATTTTTAAACTTTTCAAAAAATATTATGTAAATAATAATTGGTAATAATAAATAGTAACTAGAATGAAAATATACAGGGTGAGGTACCGAAAACGAAACAGATCGCATATCTTGAAGACACATTTTTTTTTGGAGAAAATGCAAAAAGAGGTCGATTTTTAATTCAAAGGGGACATCTTTCGGTCATATCCTCAACTATCCTACATCCTTCCCCACCCCTCTGTCACTATTACCAATGAAATTGAAATAGGGAAAGTCCTAAGTATGACACATCATTGAAAAGGTAATTTTATAAGGAATTTGACTGTGTGACATGTGACAGTTCAAATAAGCGTATTGTCATGTAAAAGCCAAATTTAAAAGTTTCATGCATAATTACTTTTGGAATAAAATGAACTTACTACGCCTATGTTTTCGTAAAATAAATAAAGGTTTTTATTTCCATAACTACCAGGTCTGTTTTTTAGTTTAGCGTCATTGATACTTCAAGTCTATTAGCGAGTAAAACATAAAAATGGTTTATTCTATTCAGGAGAGAGTAGAAATTGTTGAATGTTATTTAAAAAATAACGAATGTACTAACACTGCCTGTACAATTTTCAATGAGCGACACCCAAACAAACAGGTTAAACGCAAGTACGTTTTGGAACTTATTTCAAAATTTCGACAAACAGGATCTGTTCGAAATAAAAAACGGCAGATTCAAAATCCAGTAAGAAACGAAGCTGTAGAGGTAGCCGTTTTAGGACAAGTTGTTGCAGATCCAACTCTTAGTACAAGAAAGCTTGCAGAATTATCTGAACTGACCGTACCGTCAGGAGAATTTTGAAAGAAGAACTTAACGAAGACGATTTTGATCGCCGCTTGCAATTTTGTGAAATCATGAGCGAGCATGCTATTCGCTCCGTGCGAAGTCATGGAAAGAGAAGCAAAAGCGATACTAGCGCTAGCTGCGGATAATTCGTGCATTTTAGGGCGATATTTTGTAATTTTGGCATATCAAATACACGTATACATTTCACTTTTTTTCAAAAAAAGTAGGTAAAAACAATACAATAAGCAACCGGAGTTGCTGTGTTGAAAATTGTACAAACACTAGCAAAAAAACAGTGAAACTTATACAAAAAATTTCAGTAGCAAAGTGGAAATTAAAACAAAGAAATAAATGGATAGATATACAATAAGAAGAAAAATTACCTTTATTTTTGTAATAATAACCGTAATGCTGCAAATAGTAGACATCAGAAACTTGAAAGGTTTTAAATAAACAATAAATTATCATTTTACCATGTTCTTTAATATCCCTTATTCTTAAATGTTCATTCAACAAGGACTAGATTTCAAGATTTCTGCCTTTGATTATTATATGTGGTTGGAACACAATTTTGTAACTTACTGATGGGAAATCAGTTTTAATC